CTCGATAGCGTTTTCGCCACATTAGCTCCAAAGAAAAGGCATGTTAAATGCTGCCATCTTCTCACGTCCACTGTCCGCTATTATTTTCTTTTCTTTTCTTTTCTTTCCTTTTCTTTTCTTTTCCTCGAGGCAATGGAGCGTGTCGATGACGATATCGGGTCCTTCCCGGTCGAGAACTTCATCGGGTTCGTGCTGCTTGGGATCGGTTGGTGCAATTCGCGTGTGATCGATGGAGCCCTCGTTCGTTTCACGCGACGCATTTTGTCCTAGCATCGACCATCTTCTCAGGGTCGCAGGGGGAAGGGTGAGAACTAAATCCCGAATTGAGACGAGATCGCAGGGAGAGAACGGAATTCTGCGATTCGCAGGGACGAGAATGGAATCCTAAAATTCACAGGGATGAGAACGGAATTCTCTCGTTCGCAGGGATGAGATGATAGCTGGATGGGCTCATCCACGAAACGAGGAGGCTTCCGCTTCAAGGGCCTGGACGGCGGGAACAAGACGCAGTATTCCTCGTCTTCAGGGATGGGGTTCGGGCAGTCGGGTCGGGGCTCGGGTGGGGGTGGGGGCGGGGGCGGTGGGGGTGGGGGTGGGTTCGAGAGCAGTCGCCCGGTGAGGACCCATCTGGCCCTCTTCGCCAACAAGCACCCTTCCTTTGGGAGTTCTGGTGGGTCCAAGGCAGATTTCTTACTCTGAAGAGACCAGGAGGAAGGAGTCGTTTCGACCTCGGTGGTCGTTTTTCAGGCGAAGGGGGAGGTGGAGGTGGGATGAAACCCCGGAGGACGAACCTCATGCCCGAGGCACCTCCCATCAGCACGACGACCAGTCGAAACCCCCTCGGCCGAATGCAACAGACGAAACCTTTCCCAGGGGCCCAGGCACAACACGAACAACAGAGAGCTCAATACTCGAAACGAACGCCTCCGCAGCAACCTCACCGTCCGGCGAGCGAGAGTCCCCCGGCCCTCTACGGCGACGTGAAGGGCAGCAGGCAGTTCTACAGCCTGGAGAACCTGAGCACCGTGGAGGAAGACGAGCAGTTCGAGGAATTCCTCAACTCTTTCTGGTACAGCACCGACTCCGGAGCGAGGAAGGTCCGCGGGAAGAGCCCCAACCAGAGGGAGAACCTCCGCACCATCAACCTCCGCTCCAGAAGCAACGGAACCTTCGGCTTCGGAGTTCGAGACGTCCGAGAAGAAGGTGAGCTCACCCTACCTTCCTCCCTTCACCTCCCCCTCACCCTCCCTTCTGCCCTTCACCTCCCCCTCACCCTCCCTTCTGCCCTTCACCTTCACCTCCCCCTCCCCCTCCCTTCTGCCCTCTACCTCCTCTTCCTTATGCCCTCCATCTCCTCCTCCCTTCCCACACCCTCTCGTTTCCCTCATACAAGATGGAGCTGTTGCATAAGTCAAGGGCGAGAGCCTTCCGGTAATAACATTCTCTGCCTGGTTTAATCATCGACCTAATCGCTTGCAGTGCCTTCCGTGCGGCATACCCATGCATTATATATAGACCTTTCCTTCTGTCGGTTTCCTAAGTTCATCATCTTTATCATACTCACCCTTAAATGTTATCAATGTTTCATTTCGGTATGAGGTGCTCTGGCACGCTATAGCATATTAAAGCAGTCGAGACACCTCAGAGCTTTATCTTTCATGCAGACAGGTTGAAAATTGCGACTGTTTCATTAGCTGAGGAAGACGCATCGGACAGTTTTGCAATTTTTATCCAAGAGGAGCCGTCGTTCCATCTGGAAATAGATGAGGACGCACTTAATTCTTGAAAAGGAAGATATTTATGACGTCTTCCTGATAAGATGATGGGAAATGCGATTCTATTCCCGCGAGCATTGGGGGCGCTGAATCCGGGGGCGACGGGGAAACTCCCATAGAACCCGTGTTAAGGGGAGTTGCGCCTTTGAAATTCGGCAATGCGACGACGATGGATCTCGCGTCCGTGTAAGGTCATAGGAGGATGGGGAGGCCCGGGTGATTTATCACTCGGAGGCTCGTGTGGGTCTGGAGGAGGTTCATATGGGTCTTGGGGAGGCTCGTATGGGTCGGGGGGGAGGGATGCTCGCTCTTCCGTGGCCTTTTCCATATGTCGGATGCCTCCGGAAAGAGTGAAGACAAATTTTCTTTGCTTCCGCTGTTTTGAGTTCTCGATGAGGGATGGGTGTTTTTCGCGAGTCTCGGTCTTGTTTTCGGTTCCTCTTCTGATTCCAAGTCTTTCGTGTTTCCACGCAGGGATCGGGTTCTACGTGAATCGAGTGGAATCCGGCAGCCCCGCCGACAGGGGAGGGCTGAGGATCGGCGACATCATCGTCGCCATCAACGACGTCATGGTCGACCGTCTTACGCACGAGCAGACGACACAGGTAGGTCCCGCCCTCTTCTCACCTTTTGCTGGGGGGGAAAAAAAAGACAGTAGGAGGGAATCGTTGCAGAGATGAAATGGCGGACAAATGCATGCGTCGCAGAATCCGCAGATTTGCGCGGTGCCTCCGGAACGTAACTTGTCATCCTGAAGGGTAATCGTTGGGAAAACTCCCCCCTCCTTCGTCTTGTTGCCCTGTGAATCCAATCTCACTTAGATGAGCCTCGTGTTTGCACCACTTCTCACATGTACACAGGAGAAGATGAATGATGGCACCGGTATGGAAAGGGGGAGATCTCTGCTACCGCTGTCCCTTTTGATCCCTCTGCCCCCTTTGATCCCTCTGCCCCCTCTGACCCCTCTGACCCCTCTGCCCTTGATCCTAAGTCCAATGTGCGAACCCGTGGACGTTCCGACAGAGACGTTGAATTGCAATAATAGGAATATATTCGCGTATTCGCTGCAACAGACTATTTCATGCCAATACTCAAAAGACCCCGCGCTTGATATCACAACTTCGAACCGTAGGGTTCCTTCCCCGCTTCTTTCCTTCCCCTTTCTCCCCGTGTAGACACACAGCAGTGTCCTTCCCCCCCAACAGACGGTCTCCATCGATGATGACTCGGCGCGATAAAGCTCTCGACGTCACCTCGTGCTCTGTTTGCACTCGCGTGGAACCTATTCATACATGTCGACGTTGATGCACGTCTCCGCTTCTTGTCATTCCTCTTATCTCCCCCTTCCGCATCGATCTTGCTCACGAATTTGCTGCAACACATGGGAGGGCGAGACGACAGGAAGAGGTTCGTCAGGGCGAAGCCGTTAGAGCTCGTTGAAAGGGAAATGTCGTTTGAGGCGTCGAGAGAGCGAGCCCCCTGAGGTCTTAAGGCCCCAGGAAATCGCCCCTCATGATTCTGGGAGTCACGTCCTCAGACGCGAGCGATCCAGATTCCCCCTTTATTCCTCCTCTCTTCATCCCTACACCCTGCTTACACCACTTGAGTTCCTCGAGGGTCGGGGGGTTCTCGAGAGAAACGTGGCTCTGGGAGCGAAATGATCCTGGCCCTGCGGATGCGGATGACCGAGATAATGATAATGATGATGATGATGGTGATGATGGTGACGCTGACGCTGATGACGCCGATGACGAAGCGTGCATTTGACACCGTCCCCCCCCCCC